TGTCGTAAGAAAGCTCCGCGCTCTATTGATCAAGTACTGTTTCGATTAGTTCTTGGGAAATCTCCCTCGAATTGTCTATCGCATTAACTACACCTAAACGCTGTTTTTAATACTCGCACCAAGTATTGTCCTGTTTATATTGTACGTTCCTCATACTGCCTAGTTACTTTCTCAATCAAAAACTCACAAGTTTCTTTTTTCTAGATTGATTTTTAAAATATTTTATTGAAGCCATTCTATGTATATATTCGATATTGTAAACCAGCTGCTATTCAAATTTCTTTGATATATGTTTGTATTTGAAGAACCGTCTGCATAGAGCGCTATTTGGTGATGGGATGCTTTAGGCATGTCAATAAAAAATATATATCTGGAGAACAGAAGGGACTCCAAACTCTACCTTGGGGGACTTTTTTATAACATCAAGTGATGGAACGATCATGTTGTGCGCCTGACGGTAAGCTACACGCCTGTCCAGCTGTCCAGTTGCAGTGACACTCAGAGCTTTAAATCGCAAAGATCTGAGGGGAACTGTCACTGCGCCCATCACCCTGACAAGTTGACAAGTCCTATGTGCCTGTAATTTCAGCAGCTCCCTTATCGTTCAAAACCGGAACGCAGTAATGCTAGCATTACTGCTTAGCGGCAAAAATAGGTAAGGTGGCAGCACTTCCCTGGACGAAATCTTTTACAAGGAGCTCTACTACTGCTGCACTCCTCATAACTAACTACGACAGAGATTGTTCGACATGCATGAATTTGAAACTTACATAACAAAATATAGTTCTACGGGTTGTGATGAAGCCCAAATTTTGAATTTCAACCTTTGACCTAAGACTATTGGGTCATCATGTTGTCTATGTAAAAAATATTCAATCGTAAAAATGCCCAGTAATTATTGTCAATACTACAATAATACTAAATGCAATAGATCATTTATTACTGTTGTTATTCCCGTGTTGTTGAATATTCCTAAGCGTTTCATAAACATCTTAAAGTAGTCATTGATATGACGATTGGAGTCTAAAATCTCTGCTTTTTATTATTTATTATTTTATTCGTTTACTTTCTTGTTATCACGAGTGAGATTGTCGACAATGTTTGCCATTGAAGGCTGCAAGTTTATGGTAATGACAGTAAAGTCTTTTTCTATCACTATAGTACTATAAATAATTATTCGCTGTAGGTAGCAAATAAGTGTTTTTCACAAGTACACTTTGTCAGCGACTCTATCGGTAAATAACAAACATATTTTTTTTCACTTCCTACAATATTCGAAGAATAGTACTCTACTTTACTCATCTCCGCATATATTATAGAAAGGGAAATACCGGATCGCGTGCGCAGTACTCGATCAGGTAGATTTGTGGTTGATGTGTTTAGTTATAGGTTATTGCTAAAAAAAAGTTGAGTAGAGTGACCGCATCCGAAAAACCCGTGCGAAGTTTGTTTAGTTCAGTAACGTTTTTGCGGACATACGTTCATGTGGTGAGCTGGTGTCGTAAAAAACTTGCTAGTCGCGTATCGCGCTGGATGTGACGAGATAAAACACGCTTATAATTTGGTACTGCCTACTCGATATAATGAAACAAATTCTTCATAGAATTACAGTCAACTATTTTATTAGTCACAGGTGACAGAGAAACAGGTGGTCGTTATTTAAAATAAATATTATCTTGAAGAATAAGTTTGTTTCGTGTGCACGTGTTCGCTGTTCGACAATTGTAGTGAGGCAAATAAAAAGTTATGTAAAAATATTTATATGTAGTCAATTAGATTTTCTTGTTATCATAGTACTTGCTACTTCAGTTTATTTAATTCAGTTAAGTATACTATTTACTAGATTTAGCTAACTTTAAGTATTTATATTGCGGCGCCTCTACAGTTCCGTGTGACATATTTATAAAGATAAAGATATATTTAATCCAATATAACTTAATCTAATACAATACAAGTAAAACAAATGTAATTAAAACTGTTATAGTATTCAAATATGAATTAAAAAGGGAATCTAAATTATATATTCTTCGTAATAAAGCTATACATTTTAATAGGAAATGAAACTATTTTTCCGGATTTAAATCGCGTATATTTGTTTTTTCAAACAAACCGACGACGTTTCGGGCCCTTTACAGGTCCCATGGTCACGGTTGACTGAGGTGGTACAGTCTTCAACCAGTTATGTCTAATATGAATGCAAACCACCCTATTTTTTCACTATAGTTACAATAGTTATTAATTAAATACCTTATTTTTAATTTTACAAAGAAAACATTCCAATTTACGCTACATTAAGTTTTACAAATTATTTTATTGAATGAATTTTTATTAAGTTTAATTTATTATTAATTATTAATAGAAATTAGAATAAACTAAAACATATTAATTAGTACTGCAGTCTTATGTCTGTTTGGGATTTTTCATTAGAGGAAATACTGGATCCCAAACTGGTGGTACGGAGAAACCATCTTCCCTGTTGAAATTAGGATGTTTTTAAATTTCAATGGCCTCTCGCAGCATCCTGGGTAGATAACGGACTTCTTTTGCAAGGACCTGGGGTTTGTCAAACTTCATTGAATGTGTAGGTTTATCCATGACATGCTCGCAGACTGCAGACTTGTTTACGCGACGGTGTTTGACATCAGCTATATGTTCTTTGACGCGGGTACAAATACTTCGCTTTGTTTGTCCAATATAAGAGAGACCGCACTCACAGTCAAACTTGTAAACTCCTGCATCCTTTTTTTTTTCCGGTTTGTTTGAAAAAACAAATATACGCGATTTAAATCCGGAAAAATAGTTTCATTTCCTATGTGTAAAAATCGCGAAAACCTAAGAACTCGATATATACATTTTAATATTAAAACCTAAAGTGTAATTGCGATGCCTAAACTAAATAAATGTAAACCTGTACTTTAGGCATCTTTTTGGGCAAATTTCTTTATATTACAGTTTAAAAGGAGATTTTCTATATTTAACAATACAATAATTAGTAGTTAATAGTAAAGTTAAAATGGTTACCTATATAAAAATATTTATGAAACAACTTCCAGCAAGTACTCTGATTCATTGTAAGTTTACTCTTAAGCCACAATTTGACGGTCCTTTTACATTCTATTTTATTCATGGCGAAATAATTCAAAGTAGAATTTAATTTAAAGTAAAGGAATGTACCACGAAGCAAAAGAATCTATGCGAGTGTGCTCTGCGGAGTTTTCGCTGCGCTCTGTTTTCGGTACTTTTGTATTCATTTCAGTTGTGTTTGTTCATTTCTATAATTTTAGTGAGGGTACTGATCAAATATACCATTGTTACATTGGCATCTGTTGAGTTGTATATTGGTGACATATCTAAGCTAGCAAAATCACGAGACACCTCCTTATTCAGTGCTCTAGAAGAATTGATAGATTGGGTTCTATTGAAATTCTTTTGTATGCTTAGTAGTAAGGTGTAGTGGTCAGTTAGGGTACTTTTTAAGACTATAGTTTTTACGGTAAGGATGGTTTTTGGCTAATATAGGGTCTAAACTATTACGATTATCATTATTACGATTATTATCTGTCGGATGAAGATGGGTTGGGAGGTAACCAAGGGAAGTTGTTTGGCTTAAGTATTCGCTTGAGTTGCTATCTTCATTGTCGTTCTTAATGTCAATATTAAGGTCACCAAGAATAAATACGTTTCGAAAAGATGAAAGTGTTTTCATAATGTCACCTAAGGAAAGCAAAAAAATTGTGATTTTTCTGTATGAAAGGGAGCGATAAATCGTAACAATGGCAATGTCATTACCAATTTTTAAAATCAAACTGTTAGCGTCCACTATTTTAGGTTCCTCTATCAAGACGTTTGGCATGTAAGTTTTTGCGTAAAGAGCTACGCCATCATTCTGAAATACATTGTTTTCCTTACTACCATGTAAATTATAGCCATCTGAATTAGGAATTGAGGTCGTTTTGAGTAACCTGAGAGTTTTAACTGAGTATAAAACAAAGATGTCAGGTCCAAAATTAATAAGGTTTAACAACGATAAAAGACCGTCAAAATTACAATTAATACTTCTAATATTCTGTAGAACTATTTTTAAATTAGAATTAGACATAGAAATACACGACGGGCACTTATCTAGGTACTTACGTAATGTTGTCGACGTAAATTAATGATTCGACTTTGACATAGATCGTGAAAATGATCGAAAATGATAAAAATAACATGTATGGGCCTATAGACCAAGAACTCATAACGAATCTACAAAGGTTGTGTGCTTGTCACGATGTTCGGGGGATATTTTAAGAAATGGTTTTCCTCCTTTTGGGTGAAAAGAAAGTAAGGTGATGATGTTGTTGTTGTAGTGAATGTGCCAACGGTGTCGTTCGGACTGACAATGGGTTGGGTGTCGCTGGCCAGCGGGGAGAGGGATGGGGAAGAGGGAGCCGGCGACGCGGACTTGGCGCAGGTGGTACTCGCCGCGGGGACCACGTTCCTGAGTGCTTTGACAGCCGTGCCACTCGCTGCGCGTGCGCTGCACGCTGGGCGGAAGTTTACCGTCATCGCCACCTCTCTCGTTTTCGCCGTGAGTAAGCAGCTGCAGCTTGCGCGTGTAGTGGAAGCGCGTGTGGCGATTGGATGCTAACCGTCAAGTGTTTGCAGGCGTGCTGGGCGTTGAAGTTGGCGGGAGGCGGGTGGTGGGTGGTGGTTGCACGAGTGCTGGCCGGCATGGGCGGTACGGCGGCGTGGGCCATCACGCCGGTGCTTGCGCGCGAGATGTGCGCGCAGCACATTCGCGGCGCCGCTGTGTCCTCGCTTGTGCTGGCGCATAACCTGGGCTTCATGCTCATGTACCTCGCCGCAGACCTAGGCGTGGAACACAGGTGAGATCTCTTCAGTTAGTGCTTCCTTTGTCAATATTGTAGTTTATCTTCATTACCGCTCGGTTCCTCTGTAGCAGGATCCTGTGGATGTGTCTCGTCCTTTCACTCGGGCATTGCATGATTTATTCTTTTATGCCGGAGTCGCCGTCGTACCTCGCCGCGCACGGTGACTTGGAAGTAAGTGAAAATTAACTATGTCAATCTGTGCTTAGTAAAGCAATTAAATTACGTAACGCTTATGCGCAGGGTGCACGTTCGGCGCTGGCGTGGTTGCGCGGCACGTCAGCGCACGCGACGGCACTTGACGCCGAGATGGAAACGTTGCCACCGCTCGACGACCCCAAGCTGTCGTCTCTTGACGTCGTCAAGAACCTGTGTGAGTAAGCCACATTTGCCGGGAAAGTGTGAACAGGAGACAGGAGCATGCATTAGTGAGAGTGCACTGTTCGCAGTAAGCTCTGCGCAACGACGGCGCGCGCTGATCGTAAGCACGTTGGCCGTGGTGGGGCAGGAGGCGTGCGGTGTGTTCGCGCTACTGCAGTTCGCCGAGCGCGTGTTCGTGCTCGCGCGGGACGAAGTGGTCGCTGATAGCGCTATTGCGGTTGCCGGCCGAGAAATGTTGCATGCCACGAACGTTGCGAGGGCGACCGTGACTAGTGGAGTGAACTCGACCGACTTGTCGAATATGACGGACGTCGGTGGACTTTGGACCTTGTCTGAGGCACCTACACAGCAGTCAACACTACCGTCGCCGGCTCGGCACGCCGTCGTGTTGGGCGCCGTGCAGCTCGCCGCTTCCTGTTTCGCACTCTACTTCGTCGAACGGATAGGACGCAGGGTAAAAAATGAACAGCGATATGAATTCGCGTCATTCCTCCGTATACAAAGACATAATCTAAGGGTATGATCGGCCTGAAGGAGTCAAAATGTAGGTAGATATGAGTGTTATCGGTCAGCAAAATAAAACTGCGTATGGTTTGCAGCCGCTAATAATAATGACGGGTTTGGCGACGGCTGCCTGCTTGGGCGCAGGCGCGGGCGCGATCTGGCTGGGTACGGGCGTCCGCGCCGACCTATGGACGACGCTGGCTCTGGCCGGTGCCGTGGGCTTCGATTCCGCCGGGCTGCAGCCCGCGCCCTACGCAGTGCTCGCCGACATGTTCCACTACGAGGTGCGGGTCGAACGACCGACTAACTCGGTATCAATAGGTTTTAAGTAAGGTTCTGTTGTTCGAGTGCCCTGCGGGAGGAGAGGGCCGCGGTGTCCTCCAGTGGCGTACGACGGGAGATCTCGAAAACGCATTGAAATCCTCGTTCTCATACCCGGTTACTTCCCAGAAAAGCGATCCGCGGTGTTTTGCGCAGTACCGCGGCTGCGCAGTGATGGTGGCGACCGCGGCCGCGTGCGCCGGCAACGCCGCCGAGGTGCTGGTGTTCCCGCTGGTGGCGGCCGCGGGCGGCGTGCGCGCTGCGCTGGCGCTGTCCGCCGCGCTCACGCTGCTGTACGTGGCCTTCGTCGCGGGGCTCGTGCCCGAGACGCGCGGCCGCTCGCCCGACGAGATCTACGAAGAGCTCGGGCCTCGCGCGCCTCCGGCCGCTGAACACGCGCGCGGTGTCTCACCGCGGCCCGCCGGAGACGCATGTGTGGCGACACACACACACTTGACCGATGAGATGACCCGTTTGTAACGTCTTCCCGTCGGGTCGGACAACTGTAACATCCGATGGAAGTGAAGTACTGACTCGTGTCGCTCGGTGGGGCGAAGTGCTGCGACTCGCGGGCGAGCGGAGGCGGTGTGACGTCGTCGCGCGTCAGGTTGTTCCGAAGCAGACGGATGCAACTCGATGTGGCTATGTTCACGTCAATAGTACAAATAATGTACCGAGTATGCACAGAATGTATTGTAAAAAACACGACATAATTCTTTTAATTAAACCTCCTACCTTACAAGTGTCGAAGCGTTACTTCGAAGCGTTATTTTATCAGCCTGTACGTCCGTTTCATAATAGTACAATATTCATTGTTTACCTTAATGATAACTTCAATAGGTACAAACGAGGCAAGTAGATGGCCGGTACTACCTTCCGACCTTAATTCTCTGGATATTTTTTAGTCCCAAGTAAACAATATTGTGTACAAAAAGTCTTATATGTAATTTATAAAGTGTAATCATTTTCGTGACACCAATGTATTAAAATTTGTTGATCGGTTCCCAATACTATTACTTTTTTTTACATTAAAAGGTAATATGCCGCTAACACGCGTTGCACTGCAGGATGTATGTAAATGCAAGTAGGACGATGCAAGGAGATAGAGATGCAAATTGCAATGCAAATGATTGGAGTGCTATTAAATAATGTAAATAAAACGACCGTGTCCGAACGAGACAATAATAACACTCATTTATTGCAAGATATACATCGATCACCGTGGTGTTGCAGTAAGCATAAATCGAATACTTATGATATCGTGCGATAAAATAACAAATGTAAATCATAAAAAATGTACGGTTTCACTCGTACGGGTAAATTGTTCAAGGGCAACCTTGAGTTGTGTTTTTTGGCTTTCCTGTAAAATTTTGTCTAAAGCAAATTTTTTTTATGTGTTTGATAGTAACATGTTTGACAACTTCTATATTTATGCAATTTCTTGAAAAGTTTATTGTTTCAGAGATAAAAAAAATTTCGTTTTTTGGTTTGGAGAAATAAACATTTTATTTTTTTATCTAGAAATTGTACAAAAATGTAATGTGTGTGGTTTATTTATAATATAGGCCCAATCTTTCTCCACCAAGAAAAAAATAATCCATGTGCAACTTTACTGCGGCTTTACTAGTGAAAAGGTGTCAAAATTTTACATTTGTCATTTATTTTTTAACACAATATACTTTCTTTTTACTTAACTTTCGTGTTATTGTCATAACGCTCTCTAAATTACACTAAAAATAATTTTTTTTTAGTCGAAGCTCATGTATTTTGTTAAAAAAATACACGAAAGATTTTTGATAGGAATTTTACCACACCTTTACTTACAAAGCCGCAAATACAAGCAGACGGATTATTTTTTTCTACATAAAAAATGATTGGAACTGTACTGTAAGTAACCCACGCACAGTACATTTTCGTATATGTTGAGATAAAAAATAAAACGTACACACATCAAAAAAAGTTTGCGATCACTTCGAAAAACTGAAATCTTTTTTGTTACTGTAGATTATATTATGATTTTTTCTTTTTTTTAGATTCTTTATTTAAAAATAAATTAGAACATAAAACAATGACCCCGTTCAATTGTTTTTTCATATAAAAAGGCTTTCAGTCCTAGCTTACGCTCATTCAGAAATCTGATTTAGTCAATTATAAGCGATTCAAGATATTTTTCGCGGAAAGTTGTGATTGAAAAAATGCCAAGAGGATTATCAGAGGTTTTACGAGCTAGAATAGTAACTTTGAGGGAAGAAGGATACACCACGAGAGTAATAGCACGCAGACTTGCTATATCCCAATCTTGTGTCGTGGCTACGTTGCAGAGGTATCACGGAATGGGGAATTTAGCTGACCGACCCCGCAGCGGTCGCCCAACTGTTTTGACAGCTGCCCAAAAGCGCTATATTAGATTGCTGGCAGCCCGTGATCCAACAATCAACGCCACTAAAATAAAAGCAGAAGTCGGGGCCGCCTCTGGGCTTGAAGTTAGCACGCAGACCGTTCGCAATTGCTTGCACCAGACTGGATTACGAGCACGGAGGTCTTGGCGAGCTCCGCTCAATTCCCGACAACGTCAACAACGAAGATTGCAGTGGGCTAGACTTCGGCAAAATGAAGAAGGTGAGGACGAAAACATTTGGCAAAACTGTCTCTTCGTTGACGAATCCCGAATCAGCACTCATCCAGATAACCGACGTGTCCGTGTCTGGAGAAGGCCAGGCGACCGTGAAAGACAAAGAACTGCCACTGGAACAGTTCAGCAAGGCGGAAAATCGGTGTCCTTTTGGGGTGGCATTATGATTGGAGCTAGAACGCCTTTGATCCCGTATCGGGGCTTCATGACAGCAGACATGTACAAAGCAGTTGCTATTGATGATATCGTCAGACCATTCCAAGTAAACCATGGGCACCAATTTGTACTGGTCGATGATAATGCGCCCGCACATCGAGCTCAACGAGTCAATGCTGCTCTTCAAGAATACGATATCACACGATTAGACTGGCCTGCCGGCTCGCCCGACTTAAACCCAATAGAGCATGCGTGGGATGCTCTTTCTATGAAATTTCTATCACTATTACATTATGATTAATGGCTCAATTTTTTAAAATAAATAATAAAAAATAGTTTTATATTTTAATTTCAAACAGGGTATTCCTATTTAAAGAAAGCATACAACATAGATTTTTTCTTGATAAAGTTAAATTTAAAGAATTATTGGAGCTTATGCTATTGATCGCAAACTTTTTTTGATGTGTGTATATTTCTCCATACAAAAAAAAACAAATTTTCTCCGAAACTATCAACTTTTCAAGAAATTATACAATAATAAAAGTTGTTAGGAATGTTATTTATCTATCATATAAAAAAATCCACAAGTTATTCCTATGTCCAAGAATTATCAATTTGGGCCCACTGTGCGACTGTTGCAAAATTTCTACAAATGTACACCGCCGCGACAACATTGTAGGGAATTTACGTTAGCTATTTTTACGAAATATATTTAGTATTTGCCTTCATTAGTTTCATGTGGAAAACATTATTCTTGTTCATCATACACTCAATTTAAAAAAATTGTCTTGCCCAGACTCAAAAGTTAAGTTAAGTTAAGAATAACTTAACCTATTTCAGGGAACTAGCACTGACTAAAAAAGTCATCGTCAGTACTCCAAAGTCGTGTAAATAAATAACTTTCAGGTTCAGGTTCTTTATTGTTATCATATACTTTTCATGTGTTTATCCACAGATAATGTCAGGCTATTTATATAGTCAAATTCGATAGTCGCACTTAAACTCGCCTTTAGGTTTTTGTTCATATATGAATTAAATAAAAATTGGGTAGTATTTATTAAGGTGCCTACAGATTCTTTTTTCGTTGCTGTCGATCGACTATGTCGATTGAGAATTATAGATGTTTTCGAGGAGTTTAAGGGTCGTATTCCAGAACTCTACTCAATGCTCAAGTCAGGACTTGAGTATGATTTCAGGCACTGGAAATACGAGCCCAATGGCAGGGACTTGAGTATGATTTCGAGTGCATTAAACCATACTCAAGTCCTGACTTGAGCAAAGTCAAAGTCAAAGATTATTTATTCCATAGGTAAAATAAATTTACACTTGAAAACGTCACATTTAAGCTACTGCTCGTTCACTACGCTGACCTCCCTCAGAAGAACGAGCAAGAAACTCTAGGGATTGCTCTTTTCAAATAAACTTAAATACTATGGAATACACTTTGAATCAAACTTGTGTGGATTCTGGAGCCATGTCATCTTTCCATACATCTTTATCTAACACGTAGTCTTCAATTTTGTAATATGATTTTTCGATCAAAATATTTTTAATGTAGTTTTTAAACTTAGGAAATGATAAACTTAATATATGTTCCGGAATCTTATTGTAAAAACGCATACAGTTCCAAATAAAAGAGTTGTTTACCTTGGTTAAACGAAATCGTGGTACCATGAGTTTGGACTTAGCTCTAAGCATTGAGTAGAGTTCTGGAATACGACCCTGAGAATGCTTATTACGAATGTAGCATTAATTTCTAAATCCGAGATGGTTGACAAGAATTTTCAAAAAAAATCATTTTTGGTAATCTATAAGGAAATGGCATTTATCTGAATACACGATAGCGAACACAACTTTTCTAATTTCGAAATCCAAGATGGCGGGCACGATTTTTCAAATAATGGCAAGGTAGGTGTTGTTTCCGAGGTATTTGGGGGTGCTCATTACGAGTATGGGTATCGTTTTAGCTGTTATCGGGGTTGATGGTTGATGTCGTGTCCGCGATCTTGGATTTATTTCTAAACGCTATATTCGTAATGAGCACCCCCAAATACCTTGAAAACGATACCTAACTTGCCATTATTCGATCGACTCGTTCTTCGATGGAAAAATCCATATTTCGATAAATGTGATATAGATGTTTATTTTTGCCAAAAATATCTTTTGTAAAATATTTAAGGCTTTTATCGTCTATAGTTTCAATGAGAGTATAGCGTCGTTGCTGGTTCTTCCATTGGGAGGGCTCGAGTTGGATTATTTTCTCACACTGCTGTCTTTTCCATAGTTCTCTGTTACGGTCTAGCATATATATAATAGTTTTGATAGCTCACACATCTGCCGATCCAAAAAAATCCAATGCCGCAGACCCCGTGTGAAACCACCAACAGTCGAGCGAAGACTTGCCATTTTACCTTACGTGAGAGGTGTTACAGACAAGATCGGAAGAGTCCTCAGGCGTGCATCTATCAAGACCTATGTCAATCTCTTGAGGAAGATTTCTCAGTTCCTGAGACCCGTGAAATGTAACATCCCCTTGCAGGATGCAGGAGTTTACAAGCTTGACTGTGAGTGCGGCCTCTCTTATATTGGACAAACGAAGCGAAGTATTTGTACCCGCGTCAAAGAGCATATAGCTGATGTCAAACACTGTGGCGTAAACATGTCTACAGTTTGCATGTCATGGATAAACCTA